ACTTGTCTAATTTTTGTTGAAAAAAATAAATGTTTTTCTATAATTAGAGAAAGTTTTTGCTTCTATTTTTTAAAAATTCTATAATAAAAGCATACCTTTAGTATAATAAGAGTATCTAGAAACAAAATTGTTAGATTATTTAGAATTTAATAGTAAATTATTCAATGGATTTTTAGAGATGGATCGATAAAATGTATGCAAATTTATCTTGACACAGGAAAACCATTAACAGAGTTTCAAAAATAGTTACAATTTTTGCTGCTAGGGGTATATAACGAAACCAATGTTACAACAGCATTACATAATAGCAATGCTATAAAGACATGTAGTAAACTTTTGTCATGCATAAACTACAGCAAAGAGGATTGAGTAACATCACATTTATGCAATACAGTGTAAGACCCATACCACAATCGTTGTGAGACATACCATCTAACACATTTGGCAATGAAAGGATGATTGGCCAGTCTTTTCCAATGCAATGGCCTTATCATTCATTCAATCTCATACTTTGTGACTTCTAGTTATGGGACTATTAAAAAGTAGGGTTTATACAGATGGAGGTGCAAATTTATCAGAAGTAATAAGGTGGGAAGGGAGTCTCGTTAGTCAGCTGTTGTAAATGTGAGCAGGAATTCCAATAGTTCAACTAATGTTAACTCATTCAAAATTAAAATTTTAAAAATTTTGTAAAAAGCAGACATTTATAAAANAACAAATAGAACTATTTTATAGTACTACTTATTTCAACATCAAAATGTAATAATAATTAATAATTCTTACTCAGGGCATCACCTACATGAAACCTAAAAACAACAAAACCACAGACCTCACACAATACAGACCAATTACATGTCTTCCAACACACTACAAATTATTAACATCCTGTATCACAAACAAAATATACAAACATGTTGAAGAACTTTGTACAATTTATTTTTTTTTTTGTGTTAACTGTACATATTAATTTTTCAGTTTTATGTTCTGGCATATAGTCAAACATAAATCATGCTAGTAAAAAGAAACATTGCTTTATTAAACGTAAATCTTTCTATTACAAGGAAATTATTCTTTGTTTGTACGGCAAGTGTAAAATGCTGATTTAATTGTATTAAATGTAATTTCTTTGGTAAGACTCGCTTATAGATAAAGACAATCAAGAATAAAATATCTCATTTGTATAAATTACTTACATTCTTACAGAATGTAAGTAAATTACGACATTCTTACAGAACAACAAAAAGGTGCTGTAGAAATCACAGAGGATGCAAAGAACAGTTACTCATAAATTCAGTCATTCTACGATAAGCACACAAGCAACACAGAAACATACACATGGCATACATAGACTACAGAAAAGTATTCGATAGCGTTCCACACAGTTGGCTGCTACATATTCTAAACATGTACAAAATACATCCATCACTCATTGCATTCTTCCAAAACACTATGCAGCACTAGAGAACAACACTACATCTCAGGGTTAGTAACACTTCCATACAAACGAACCAAATATTCATTAGGCAAGGAATTTTTCAAGGAGATTCCTTGAGTCCTCTCTGGTTCTGCCTAGCCCTGAACCCATTATCCAACATGTTAAACAACATGCAATATGGCTACAATATCAGACATGAAAAAACAACACAGTTTACACTGTCACATCTCATGTACATAGATGGCATAAAACTTTATGCATCTACACAAAAACAACTTCAGCAGCTCCTACAAATCACACATTCATACACTATGGACATACAAATGGAGTTTGGCCTAGAAATATGCAAAACACTTCACATAGAAACAGGAGTCCTGAAGAAAGAAGATTTTGCACTTGGAAATGGGGACATTATTGAATCCATGGAAGAGGGCGAGTTCTGCAAGTACTGTACTTAGGATTCCAACAGGCAAACTAACAGAACATACACAAATAAAGCAAAGATTAATTAAAGAATATCAAAGTAGGTTAAATGCTATCCTCAGTACACAGTTAAATGCAAAACACACAGTTAAAGCAATAAACATCCCAGTATTCATCCCAGTATTCACATACTCTTTTGGAGTTATACATTGGACTCTCGCAAATCTTGAGTAACTCCAAAGGAAAACAAGAACAACACTTACTAAGCATAAACAACATCATCCTAAATCTGTCACAGAAAGATTAACCCTTCCACATGAATATGGCGGACATGTCTTGATTGACATAGTTAACCTTCACTACAAATAAATACAGTCACTGTGAGAATTTTTCTACAGGAAACAACAAACATCATAATTACATAAAGCAGTAGCCTAGCAGACTCAAATAACACACCATTAAACTTACACTCACAACATACGGACATGACACAACATATAAAAGGCATAGACACCATCAAGCAATCGTGAACTCGAAAGGCACTCCATGGCAGGCATCCTTACAACCTGGCCCAGGATTTTGTTGACAAAACTGTGTCAAATAGCTGGTTAGATCGGTGATGCCTCTTTGGGGAGACGAAAGGATTCATGATTGCCATACAGGATCAGGTCATAAATACTAAAAACTACAGAAAACACATACTCAAAGATACAACATTCACAAATGACACATGCAGAAAATGTCACATCATGCCAGAAACTATACAACACATCACTTCTGATTGCAAGCTCTTGGCACAGACAGATTACTTACATAGACACAATCAAATAGCAAATATAATACACCAAGAGCTTGCAAACAAACACAAATTATTAGACATTCATGAACCATACTACAAATACATTCCACAGACAGTATTGGAAAACANCAAATAACACACCATTAAACTTACACTCACAACATACGGACATGACACAACATATAAAAGGCATAGACACCATCAAGCAATCGTGAACTCGAAAGGCACTCCATGGCAGGCATCCTTACAACCTGGCCCAGGATTTTGTTGACAAAACTGTGTCAAATAGCTGGTTAGATCGGTGATGCCTCTTTGGGGAGACGAAAGGATTCATGATTGCCATACAGGATCAGGTCATAAATACTAAAAACTACAGAAAACACATACTCAAAGATACAACATTCACAAATGACACATGCAGAAAATGTCACATCATGCCAGAAACTATACAACACATCACTTCTGATTGCAAGCTCTTGGCACAGACAGATTACTTACATAGACACAATCAAATAGCAAATATAATACACCAAGAGCTTGCAAACAAACACAAATTATTAGACATTCATGAACCATACTACAAATACATTCCACAGACAGTATTGGAAAACAACACGCACAAAATGTACTACGACAGAGTCATAATCACAGATAAAACAATTTACCACAACAGACCAGACATCACACTCATTGACAAACAATAAAATCACATACATTATCCATTGCAAACACTCACAATATATAAAACATATGCACTGAAAAAATTAGCAAGTACACAGAACTCACCCAGGAAATAATGCATCTGTGGAGGATGGAAAGGGTGCTTATTGTACTTGTTGTTCTCTCCTGTACAGGTGTAATACCACACACACTACACAAAAGCCTGGGAACATTACAATTGAATAGAAATACATACATCACACTACAGAAGGCCACTATATTGAATACATGCCACATAGTTAGGAAATTCTTGAATACAGACATTTACACTGACACACTTATTTAATTTGTTTTGTTTTGGTTGCTATGCCTTGACTCTGGTCCAGCATAGTACACAGCCACCAGTGTGAACCGAGTATAACCCACTAAACCCAACATAATGATAATAGAATTTACACTTTTGTTACCAAAATTTCAATTTTTTACATATATTCTGTTATGTATAATATCTGCAAATATCAAAAATTATCATTCATATAAAGACAAATACAGTAGACCCCTATAAAACAGGTTCATATAGTTTGGATTCCTATATGATGGCAAAAAATTGTGACCGTATTCATATAAACACGCTAAAAGGACTCGTATAATTCAGTAAAACGTCATCGCCAACTTGTGTCACAACAGGATTGGTCGAATCTAGACCAATAGCAGATATTGTACAAACCGTTGAGTTTAAACAAGCAGCGGACCTACTAAAAACCATTTATTATTTAATGGCCATAAAAATTATATTTATATTAATGATGTCTTCAAAGTTCAGCAAAGTTTTCGCAGAAAAATAATTTATCAGAAAGCACGTGAGCGCCATTCGATGCACCACTCCATGACGAAAACAAGCTTAAGCAATGGCGTCGTCGAACGGTGCACACTCAGTATGAAATCCTACAATTTTTTGTTTATAGCATAGTTTATATAGATTATTCCCAAAAAATTATACGTATTTTGGAAATGTTGAGTCAAATTAGTCTAGAATCAGTTAATTTTATGGAAGAAAACCTTTCAAATAGCTGTAGTCCGTAAAGTGCATATGTGCCAGGCTGTGATTGGATCATGTATTTAAGGACTCGTAGAAAATGGATTTCGTAAAAACCGGAACGTATCTACTGTGTTATAGGGGTGTCGACTGTATACCAAAATTAAAATTTCAACGGTGACATACATATTGACTCTACATTTATATATTTTTAAGTTAATAATATGGCCAAGTCATTTTGTACAAATTAGTTAACCAACTCCACAAATTGAGTTGAGCATATTATTAGCTTATAAATTAAAACTACATATAAGGCTTGATCTAAATAATAAAAATTCAGAGATAATTTTGCAGGTTTCATTTTGAAATTAATTTTGTAGAAGAGATTATGTATTGTTACCGAGTATTTATAAAATTTTGTAAGTTTTTATATTATTTTCTAGTAATAAATTCTTTAAAAATTAAATATAAATATTTAAACTTTATTTCCACATTAATTAACTTTATAAATAATGCATTTTCTTATATTAAAATATAATCCATTGACACAAATAACTTTAAAAAAACATATAAACAAAGATACAATAATATTTTTTAATTTATCGCATCCAAACCATATTTTGGAGTCTGAATTAATTAAACATTACCATTTGATAATGACAGTTCATATCGTTTCAGTTTGTCAGCCAATTATCATAAATCTTCATTTTGCTTTTTCAAATTAAAATGATGTAGTTTCTTAATAGTTTCATCATAAGCACTGAAATAAAAATAATATTTACCATTTTATATTATGTTAAAAGTTTTATTAAATCTGAAAGTTTTTAACATGACTTTTTAAAAAGTAAATATAAATTTGTATTAATCTAATATTGCTTTACTGTTAGAAGAGTTTCATTTGCTTAATTGATAGCATCCTACTAAAAACACAATTCATATTTAATAAAATTTATAAGATTCATATATTATCCAATAATAATAGTGATTGGACTGCAATTTCAAAAATTGTAGACCTATGTCATCCATCCATCTTTTCTAAATCTCAAGAACAGTTAAATAAATAAAATTCAAGAGCAGATATGGAAAGCTTAGGGACAGGAGACCCTGATTAACTATATATAAACTCTGATGCAAACCGGAAGCCACGTTATTTCAATTAAAAAATTTTCCCTGAGAAGAGCTAGATAGATGACCAGCGTGACTCCATTGCTAACAGAAAAGTATGATGTACTGTACAGGAGCAAGATACTACTAATTTGAAATGGAGAGCATATATTTTAAGTTAAATAAATTTAAAATATGATTAAAAATTGCAACCTGGTATTGTGATGATGTCACAATAAATAATTGCTCATTTTTTTTAATTAAGATCTTAAAAGAACTCTTATCAGAAGCACTACTTCTCATCCATCTAAACAGTTCCTTTTGCATTAAGTATTAAATAATTGTGGAAATAGCAACTGGATTAATACTGAACGATTTATTTGTTAATATATGACAAGAGTACGCTATAAATTATAAGTTAGCCTCAATTTTGTACATTATATTAAGTCAAACCTTAAATGGAATTAGCCAGTGTAATCAGAAGACAGAAGAAGAGAATACAGTAGGTGATTGGTTAACAAACATAATCCGTTCCAAGACTTTGTTCGCTATCCGAATTGTTCGTTAACCAATCATCAATTTACCATAGGTTTTAATGGGAATTTGATTAATTCGTTCCAGAGACCTCAAAAAATTAAAAAAAATATATTTCTTACTACGTTTATTTATATGTAATAATAAATATACATATATACACAGACTTGCATTTTTATTAGTCGTGTTTTTTGTTTGTGGGGGTTAAATAATCTGTCTAATGTCGATTGCTTTTCTCTCTTCTTCAGGATTTTCAGAATTAACAACATTGTAATTGTAGAGATCCCAAGCCTTTCTAGGCCATTCTAAGATCATTGTCCTGACATCCTCCCACTTCAAAAGATCTTTAATTAATCGGCAGATATCAGCATTAATCCTCTTTTTCATAATAAAACATATCTCGCCAAGTTTCTTGGTGTTCTTCATTGAAGAGGTTTTGGCATTCTTCTGTCATCAGATCTGTTTCAGGTTCCATTATGAGCTCTTCAATGTTCCTTATTTCTCAGATGTGATATTTGTTACTCCTTTAGCTGCTTGAGTTTTCTTAATTATACTGTATCTTTCTTAGATAACATTGAACTGCGCCCTACTGTAGATTTGTTCAAGCCATACTGCCCAGCAACATCAGACATCTTCTGCCCACTCTCTACCTTTGCTATTATACTCTTACCTTTCGAAAATAAAAACCGATGCAAAACTTAATGAGTGCCCGCCCGACAGTCTTGCGAATACTATAAAAGAATTGTTTGTCAGAAAAATAAAAGGCTGGAATTACAAGGGAGTATTTCAAAGTTTGAGGAATACTATCTGATCAGTATACTCTGGATTGAGCGTCGATGTCGACGTCTCCTGCTTTCCAAAAAGTTACATGAAGACAAAGGAAAATCAATCAATATTTGCTATTTCCGTCGCTTCTTTTTATGTTTGTTCAGTGAAATGTTCATTATCCAATCATAAAAATCTTTCGCGAAACTGTTTGTTATCCGATTTGTTCGTTAACCAATCACCCACTGTACTTGCAAAATACGAAATTGCAAAACTGATTCAAATCTGTTGATGTTACATAATATTGTTTGAACATTTAGTACAATAAATTTTAAGTAAATTTATTTTATCAATATTTCTTTGCATTTTATGTCAACAATAGAGATTTTGTGTATATGTTTGTATATAGATAAATTATTTATTAAAATCAGAATAAAAAAAAACTAAGTTAGCCAAATAAAAATCACAGATTAAACTTGTATTTTTTTTAAAATGAAAGGAAATATGTGCATAAATAATCAATAAAGTTCTTATAATCTAAACTGTGTTTTGATAAACTTTCAGCAATATCCATTAATAATTGTATTCATTAAAAGAAGCTAATTTTTGACATCATTCAATGTTAATTTAAAAACTCAATATCACATGTGATTTCCTGTTACCACATTTAATATCCAAAAAGCTACAAAAATCCTTTACTGCAAAACGTAGCCAGAATTATTTGTGTATTTAAAAATAGATTCACAGATCTCATTTTTATCTTGATTATGAATGTTATGAAAAATGTTTCTACAGTTGCTAGATGTAGATTTCAACAAATTTTGCATTATATTATTTAAAATTATCATTTATTTTTATGTATGTTAATTTTAAGTTTCTAAATTGAATACTCCTCATCTTATTTATACAAAAGTTTCCCCCCATAAAGAGATTTTTTAAAAATTATTCCAGATTTTCTTCAATTAAGATTATCAATTGGTTATAAAGTTCAGCCATAATCACCAATCAAAAAATTTTTTTTCCTACTTCCTTCTCCACTGTAGGCATTAACAGGACTTTTTACAGCATGCCCATCTTTAGCATGACAATACCTACAATAGAAGCATTGAATGATGAAGAATAGTCTGACATTCATGAAAATTTCTAAAGTTTTGAGATAGGCTGAAGCCACTGATCACTGACACTTAGCTAATTGTACTATGATTTGATTGTGAAATAAATAATTTTATATTTCATGTATTATTGTATTTCCTCAATCTTAAAGAGAGACTGAGTTTTGAATTGAATTTTAAGATGTTTTTATAAAGGGAATAATTTTTAAACAATCAATTTTAATAAGTTTTGCTACATAACTACAAGTTAGAAAGTCAATTTGAATGCCATGAAATAGATTATCTGGCAGCTCTATTTTCATGTTTTCACAATGTCATTTTAAATGTATACATTTTGAAACGTTAAAAAGAAGTTTAAATTTAAAGCACTTTGCCAGCAAAGCACATATGAATTAATATGGCCATTGAGATGTGTAGCTGACAACATTTAATTGATGTGTAATGCATCTCCTAGTCCATTCATGAGAGATGCCAATGATTCTAAGCTACATCTCTAGTTTAAAAAAAAAAAAAAAAAATGGATTTAAAAAAATCCAGCAGCTAGTTGCTTAACTTTACTAACTTCACTAGGAAAGTTCACAACATGCTCCTTTGTCAATTCCATTCACCAAAAGTAATGCTATTCCAGGCTTTGCCCTCGTTTTGTAGAAAAATTTCCAAAGACAAATCTAAATCTACTAGATGTGTATTTTTATTTAGTTTTTTTTATATTTATTTATTTCAGTTAATAATTACTTAAAATAAAACTGACTGTGGTGCATCTGTTATGAGATTTTATTAAAAAATAAAATTATATTATTATTATTTATTATAAAAGGATAAAGGCTTCATTTTGAGGGTACAGATAAGCTTTATAAAAAAATTGTAAATGCTAATAATGAGTAAAATAGTCATTAACTCCAACTCCACTTGAAACATGACACAACTCCCCATCCCTTTTACCTTTAACCACCAAAATTTAATAGCATCAATTGCCCTTACATACAAGATATCATGCCAAATTTTTTTTCTTAATCATTATCCATCCTGAAAGATTAAATGAAATAGATGCCAAAAGGGTTAAATTTAACACGATTTCATATACTTCCCTATGTTATATACATAAAAGTCGAGAAAGTAAAAGTGCATCTTAGAATCAAGAAATACATCATTAGATATTTAAATAATAATTACAATCTTAATAATAAAGCAAAATACTTACCAACCCTTCCTGATTACTTTATAATAACCTGGAACTGAAAGATCTATCACAGTCGAACCTAATCGTTTAGAATTATCATCTAGACGACCCACATCAAACACATATTCCAGATGAGGCCATAATTCCCTAAATTCCTATAAAATATCAAAATTAATAATTTAAGATTATCTTATTATAGATTATTTTATTAAATATTAAAACCAAATACTTAACATAATGATAAATTAAATTAAATATATGATAATTATATGGCAACAAACGTAAAATAAACAATTTAGAATTTGCAGATAAGTAATTTTCACACAAAATCTATTATAGATTTAAAATGTCAGCATTTATCAATATCCTGAAAAGTGTAATCATTTGTCAACTGTATAAATTTCCTGTAATGCCCATATTAGTTATCATTTATTACAAGAAGTTTATTCCAAGAACAAGTGTCTAAGAAATTTAGCATTGAAAAAAATTCACAAAAATATTTTTTCAGAGAATATATTAATTGTAGGAACATATGTAGAGAGAAAACACATTTCACTTAACAACAAAAATATATCTATTAGCTGAGGTATCTGGCTTTCCTTGAAAAAAAATGATATATTAAGTAAATGTTAGACACCCATAAAAATTTACATACCAAAAAAGTACAGTACTTACAATGTAATAGATCCAACCAAAAACAACTTTACACCAAAAGAACTTCTAAAGACTCACTAACAATCTGAAACAGGTGAAATGACAACAGTAATACATTCTAGCTTTAACTAATGTCCACTTATGATCACAACGTTAGCCTATTATATTCAAATTCTATGATTCACTTGCTATACTACTTGAACTAAATTTTTGAAATATAATCTAAATATAGTGGTGCCTTGTATAACGTACTTAATCCATTCCAAGTGCACATCTGTTAAGTGAAAAGTCCATTATACGAAACGCATTTTCCCATAGAAATACATGTTAAAACATATAATTCGTTCCACAGCATAAAATAACCGTACTGTACCATTAAAAAAAAAAATTGAAAATGGAGTAGTCACCAATTATGCCAGATAGTCAGATGTTGTGAGGAGGTGGAGGAACACTTTTTCCACACATTCATACAGATACAGACTTTTTACACATTGCAGCAGGTCTCTTTTTACTGTTTTTTAATTGCAAGCAAATTCAGGAGAGGCTATCGGAGCTTGCAGGGTCAACTCCTCTTGTTCCATCCTTTGTTTTTTGGCAGCTGGCTTCTTGAAAAACATGTCCAAGGTGGTCTGTCTCTCTCTCTTCTTCAACACCTGTCAGAAATGACAGGCAAGGGTGTCATTGTAGAAATCTTTGATCCTGTGGCCTCAGCTCTGTTTGGATAATGAGTGCTGGTAAACTCCTGAGCCTCTCCCCATTTGACAAGGAAGTTTTTGTCAACTTTCACTCCTTCTGATGATGTCTTACTTTGTTTCAATTGAAATCACCTTTCTGTTTTTTTTAGAAGCCATGATTTACACAACACTTGAATAAATGTAAATATCCTGCACTGAGGTGATGTACTGTACGTAATAAACAAGGGGGCAAGCCAAATCCCAACGGGAGCTCTGTACTTCAGATATACTAATAATATATTCTAATAGTACTAATATATTATAAAAATAGCAGATTGTCATTGGCAACAGCAAAAGAGTGGAAACATCATTTGCACTTGTTTGCAGAAAATCCATTGTTTGCCTCACGTAACTGCCGAACGGAAAGTCTGTTGTTCGCAGCCAGTCCGTTGCTTGAGTCACATAATGGCCAAACAGAAAGTCTGTTGTTCGCAGCGTCCGTTATTCGAGGCATACATAATGTGAGATCTGAGTAGCCCCTGTGACTAAATAATAATTTAATTATAAAGTTAAATTTTTAATGGAAAAAAATATTCTTTAATTTTGGTGAGAAAATAGCGTTTTTCTAACACTGGGAAACTGATAAAAAGTCACTTCCTGCAACGGAAGTTGAAACATCCTNGTAATGGCCGAACAGAAAGTCTGTTGTTCGCAGCGTCCGTTATTCGAGGCATACATAATGTGAGATCTGAGTAGCCCCTGTGACTAAATAATAATTTAATTATAAAGTTAAATTTTTAATGGAAAAAAATATTCTTTAATTTTGGTGAGAAAATAGCATTTTTCTAACACTGGGAAACTGATAAAAAGTCACTTCCTGCAACGGAAGTTGAAACATCCTTTTGTTTTAATCTTATCTACTACAAATCTCAGCACCCTGGAAATTGTTAACCCCTCGTTACTTCCCCTTTTCCTCTGTACACGTGAGAGAATCCAAAATGTTGATTGGATGAAAATCAGGAGAAATAAAAATGATTTTGTACAATTCGGAGAGTACGCCACGAAATTCCATAGAAGGAAGACATATTCCATATTGGCTCCCTAAGGCCAACGCCCTTAGTTAAGAGTATGCTTGAAGATCTCATAGAAGACGAATGTATTCCATACAGCATCCCTAAGGCCAACGCCCATAGTCGTAACCAGCAGAAGTTAATAATGAGTTCAAGAATTAAAGTATAAAGAAACTAAAGATAAAGAAGAGGAAACCCACAGAGATAGTATGATCATAATAGAAAATTGTGAGCTCTCTCTCTCTAAACATTTAGATTAATTATTCCCTTGTGTATAGTTTTATTCATTTGTCTTATTAAATTTAGTTTTATTATTGTTAAAGGAATGTCTCAAGTGCCTGAATCAAACCTATTCCCTCTATGAAGCATAACACGTGTTAATCTGCGTATCTAAATTTGATTAACTGGTGTCGGGAATCCTGACGTAAGGGAACAAGTGATTACAAAATCCTCTAATGCTTTAAAATAATCTTCAATCTGTAAGTCCCTCCACCCTTGATTTTCCTTGAATTAGGAAACCCATCCTTTTAGACAAACAGAGGACTAGTTTAACAACTAGACGCCGATTAAGTGATACTACGATCATAGTTACTCAGTACCCATGGCTAGCCCCTCACAATTATACAAGGCACCACTGTATATAAAATTACTTGTCCTGACTGACTGAGTGATTGATTCATCATTGCCCAGAGCAAACCACTGAACCTAAAGAGGTGATATTTGGTACACAGTTAGGGTATGTCATGAAAACGCACACTAAGAAGGGATTTTTCGAAATTCCCCTGCGGGGAGAGAGGGAGAGGATTAAGGCTTAACCTGAAGAACGACTTCTACTATACTATTTTAGATGCAATTTTTTATTTTCAACTACATTTAGTCTTCATTGAGTACTTAGGTATATTAAATTGATAACATTTCAGACATGTTATAATTATTTTTATATAATTTGATTTTTTAACCAAATGTTTGAACCATTTTACATTTGAATTGCATATTGGTTCAATTATAGAACGATTGTAAACATTCCAGAAAATTGATCAAATTGAAAACAGTTTGTTTGATTCTCAGCAATTCTCATCATTCTCAGCGGTAGGTGTTATATAACAATTACTATGGTTGTTGAAATACTGAATATAAATGGGGTTTGCTTGCAAAATCTGCATGGGCAAAGTCGCAGGTAACAGCTACAGTTACTTAAAAAAAGATACTCTATATTTGTTATTTTTATTCATATGAGAGAAAATAATTCTAACTGTTTATTTACTGAATCAACTGATATAAATAATAAATAGTTTTCATTAAAAAATCATTCAAGAGTTTGTTTATAATTTTAAAAAAAAAAAAATAGTAAAAATTTCTTTTTACTATTTTTTTTAACATAAATTTGAATAAAAATATTAAACTCACCTCAACAGATAATGTGTTGCTTTGAGAACTAATATTTGCACTGGTAAGAGCCAAACACTGATTACACACTTTCGTAACTGCTTGAAGAAATGAGTGATTTGGAATACGAATTCCTACGAGAGATGTGTCTGGATTAAGATTAGGATTCAGCTCCGATGTTCTTTCTAAAACAACTGTTACTGGCCCAGGAAGTAAATCTTCCAATAAACTTAAAGGTATGGTAATCTTTCCCCATCTTCAAATAATAATATTAATAATAAAATTTAATAAAGTGTTCATTTTTTTAAAACTTTAAAGTTATAAAATAGTACATCAGTTATTAATGAATATCTTTCTTTTTCTATTCAGAGAATATAAAGAAAAAAAATAACATAAACAAGTCAGTTCTTTATAGGTCCATTAAAAACATTTTTATAATAAAATCATTGACTGCTAATATCATTTAGAAATTTGTTCACTTACTTTGGAATGTCTCTTATATCTGAAACACAAATAGCTATTGGTTTCTTTTGATCCCTTCTTTTTATTCTATACAATGCATCCACTGCTTGATTGTTTTGGGCAAGTGCTGCAATTCCATATATTGTATCTGTAGGCACTGCTATCAACTGACCATTTGACAGGGCTTTAACTGCTTGTTTTATTGCTAATAAGTTAAGTTTTAAAACTTATTAGTTTTTAAATATTATCATTAATTACAACATATTTGAAGAACTAAGAATTAAATTGAAGACTGAATTATTTTTACTGACTATTATATATAACAGAGGGAAAGTATGGCAATTGGTCAAAAAAATAACCTCCCCAAGATTTTTACATTTTTGAGCTCAGGACAACTTGAAACATCAAGAAATGAAAAAAAAATTGGTAGTTTTCTTCTGTATGTATGGATGTTAGTGAGTGAGTGGGGCACAATTTTGTTCACCCTTTTGAGGCTTAATAACTTCTGTGCTTTTTGTCAAAAATTTCTGAAATTTTGAAGTGAGGTTTGTTTATTAGGGGGATTGATACTGTTAAATTTTGGTGGTTAAAGGTCAACGGGGTAGGGAGATAAAGGCAGTCATGTGTATCTCCAGTAGGGTCGGACTTAATGATTTTAAGCATTTACAATTTTTTTTTTATAAAACCCATCCCTACCCTGAAAATTAAGCTTTTTGCCATTTTATAATAGTTAACAATATAAAAAGTTTTTAAAATAAAATATCATAACAGATAATGCCACTAAATGTGGCCAAGAAAGTTAAGCAACTTGTTGCTGGATTTTTTTCTGTATGTTGAATATAAGCATAGTTTCTATTTTTTCAAGATGTATATTTGGAAGAAAGAATTTATTTAACTGTTTAAAGCATACAAGTAAAACTTATAATTAACTTTTATAAAATTATAAGTATAATCTTATAATTAAAAAATTAAACAAATTATAAGATTATACATGTAATTAAAAAATTACTCAAAAGACAATAATTTAAATTAACAAATTTTAAAACAAGTTTGTTAAAACATTCATTTACTGGAACAACATTTTGATGGCAATGACCTTCCATAATGGCTATATGGCCATTCTACAATGGGAAACATTCCCTTAAAAATATGAATCATATGTTTTAAACTTTAAAGGGCTACTTTTTTTTATATTTTTGAGGGAAATTTTACAAATGGCTGGATGATCAATGTGTTTAAGACATCAGTCTACTGCACTGGGAATCCAGGATCAAACCACTAAACACTGGGTAGTTGAACACAGGTTCATGCCTGGCAAACAAGGTGGCCACATGGAGTTTTCTAGATTTCCTTCATGTCTGTAATACCTAAATGAGGGCCAGTTTCCCTTAGAAAGTCTTCCAGGACGCATGCCCATGTTTGCATTGTCACAAACAAATAAACCAGTGTTTCTCATGTGAGCGTTTTTCCATGTTGAGGGGGGCGATTAGCAACAATTTATATTTTGGGGGGCGAAAAACAATTTTCTGGGAGATATAGTAAAACATTATATTAAGAATAATTAGATATTTTATTTGTTATATCGTACAATAATTAAACAAATAACATTATACTAGTCACTAGTCTATTCAATACAGTACAAATTTGGCGTTAGTCTTGTCCCTCGGCATCGGAATTTTGTAGTGAAGGGGTCAATACTATGTAACAGTTTCATTGAAGGGGGCGATACTACATTGAAGGGGATGATGATTCGTTAGAGGTTGAGAAACACTGAAATAAACCAAACCCATAACTTTTTCATGGATGGTCTGTTCCTGAAATGTCAATCCTCGTCCTTTCCACCCAGCCACCTCATTGTAGGCCTGGCCAAACCCATAATGGAAATGCCAATATTGATAAATTTTGATGAAATTTGCAGCAAATGTTAACAATGTTAATAGATACCTAATGACCAACCAATACAGATGAAATATGTCTTTCCAGTTTTGATAAATTTGGCACCAAAATTTGTAATTATTTCCAGAACACTCATCCATAGCATAAAGCCTTGATTCTATTTGCACTTTCCAGTGGTAGTAACAAGTGGTGGTTAGTTACTATGGAAGCAATAGCAATCTCACAAGAGATTGCTCTAGAAGTTCACTGTGTTGCTAAGAAAAATTCCTGTATGCTGAATATTTGCCACAGTTGCTAAGAATCACTGCTTTCAATAGACAATAAAGTGATAACACATACATGATGCCAGAACAATACAGCAGCATTTCTCAAATTTTTCATTTCCTCGATCCTATATACAGTAATACCCCAAACTTACATGATAGGTGGGACCAAGCGATAACCACGCAGGTTGAATTTGCATAAGTCGGGGTATAATTTCACAATTCTTGTAAAATCCAAGTCAGATGTATGTAAGCTAATAAATGTTCTCATTAATCTTATCTCGTCTTTTGATTCGTTCACAGTTACAAGAAATCACGACATAGAGTCTCTCAAGGCTTCATAGATATAACAAATACAGAAATAAATAACACAAAATAAATTGTAGCTATGTGTCAATTCCGCACGACACATCCGAACATGTAAGCTGAACAATAGTGTGGGGGAGTGAGTAATCAAGAGTTGCATGGCGCTCAAACAAAATACAAATCGATGAGATTTGAAAATCGCGTAACTCCAGGTTCGCATAAGTCGAGGTATTACTATATATATATATATGTTTGTAATGGTTCCATGACCCAAATTTCATAATATAAAATTTTTAAAAAAAACCTGGTAAACCAAAGTGACCATATATAAGACAACAAAATAAAATATATGCATTATTTATTGATAACTTCTATGTGTGAAATATAACATCGAGTACATTTCTATTAAAAGCGGTTCAGGCCAATTTTGATTTGTAACAAATAACTTTCAATAATAAAAACTGGAATTGAAGTTAGTTAACTATTAAAAAATGTAAGTCTGAAGATCGTAAATAAAACAGACTGTTTCGAAATTATTCTGGAGTCTATTTTACTTTGAACAATACAGGTAACCCCCGTATAACACGGCACTTCTATAGCACGGATTCGCTCTAACACGGTTTGAGAATTGGTACCATCCCCCGTATAACATGGTACTTTTATAGCACGGATTCACTCTGACACGGTTCGAGAATTGGGTAAAACCCTCGTACAACAGGAAATGTAATAAATTTTTACATACTTAACTAATAATAGTTCATGAAAATTATTATTTTCGTGAACTATTTGTACTTAAGTATGTAAATTTTCTCTTCTCGCCTTCTGTCGATACACGTGGTCCTTCTCGAAACTTGTTTCAATGTTGCCAGATCTCGACGCTTCTGCTTCTGATGTTGCCGAATGTTTTTCCCTTATTCCATACTTGCTTTATTCTTCATAAGTGCTTAGCACCATATAAGGAAATTTATAAAGACCTTTTAACTAGAAGCAAGCAATCTAAAATTACATACATTTTGCAAAAGGTAAAGCATGGATCTGAAGATAATGCAGAAAAATGCTCAGAGGATAAGGATAACTTGCCAAAAAGAAAACGCTCTCGGTTAATTAATAGTGTTTTTAGTGATGAAGAAGAAAATATTGTTTAATTTATATTAATATATATCACTTAAAAAATTTTAATGAAGATATTTATCTTAATTATGAAAATATACCATCATGTTTTCTAATTTTTAAAACCTAACCCTCCTTTTCGTATTAGTTCTTTGTTTCGTATAACACGGATTCGCATAACACGGCAATTTTTTGGAACGTAACTACCGTGTTATACGGGGGTTACCTGTATTATATGTTTTTTTTATAAACTTAATTACTTTGTAGAGTAGTAAATATGGAATAAAGAGCATCAAATTAATTATTGTATCATTTGTTATTCTATTATTATTTTCTTCGAAGAAAGAATATCAGTGTTTCTTATTTTATTTATTACACACTGTTCAATTCATTTGTTTTTTACTCTATAATAATAATATTATTATTATCCGTAAATATAACAACCTAATAAGGGAAAGCAATGTTCTGAATCGCAATTTTGGATCATAGCTCAGACTCCAGTTTCAGAAAAAATTTAATTTTTAAGTGCAGTTGTTCAAGATATTATTCAAACCAATAAATAAAATACTTTCTTACTGGAACTACACTATAAATAAAAATCAAAACCTTTAAACAATCCAGCAAATCGTTTTTTAATATCTTAAAAACGCTTTAAGCAATCATCCTCAGTTATCATTCTGAATCAAATCAACAATTCGAAATTACGTAAAACAAAAATTCAAAAAGCAGTTACATAAATATATGTTAACATTTACCAAGCTTAAATAATTGCAAAAATTATACAAGATAATTAAAACGAAATAAAGAAATAAAATAAAATATATACATCCAGTAAAAAATTATCTTAATTAACCTCCCGTTTACATAAACTACGTCAACTCACTGTAGAAGGATTTCCATGCCGATGACAATCTGTCAGCATCCCTATGATTAATGCAGTTTGTGTGCAACTGCGCCTTGTGAATTTCTACTTTTTCCAAATGTTTCAAGGCCTGCCTGTATCTTGTAGCCTTGATGATCAATGCCCAATCCCAAAAGACCTCGATATTCTGCTGCTTAGCAAAGGCAGCAGCACCGTAGAGTCTATGTTTTTATTCACTGAGTGCTTATGTTCAGCAATTCTTTTCTTTAAGTTTTTCATGGTTGCTCCTATGTATACCAGATTAGAGTTAAATCTACGATATTTTAACGGTATAGAGTATACTCCTGCCATCGTGTTGCGTTCGTAACTGCTTTTATCGTTCCTTAAAAGCCTGTATACGGTGGGATTACACTTGTAAACTATCTATATGTTCTTATTTCTGGTAACTTTCTTAACCATTCCTTTGAGGAATGGTATGTAATTGAGCACGACTCTTTCTTTACACTGATTCCCTCCCCAAGATGGGTGGCACCTCCAACAATTCGCAATGAGAGCATCTATTCTTTCAATTTGAAGATACATGGCATGGGGTGTACCGATGGGTAGCCCCATGTCAGCTATACTCTGTGAATTAGTGTTGCGTAAACTCGAAAAAGATATACTCCCCTCGTTCCAGGAAGACATATTGTCTTATGCAAGGTATGTGGATGATATCTCTATTTTGTAGAAAGATAATCGCAGAGTTAACCAGTTTATAGATCTGCTCAACGACAACCCATATGGATTAACTCTGGAGCAGGAAAGTGGAAGCAATGTTAATTTTTTGGATTTATCTATAACTTGCACAGAAGGGGAAATCAAAACAGATATATACCAGAAACCCACTTATCTTCCTATTGTCATTCCTAGGAACTCCGCAGACCCTGAACATATAAAAATGGCAGTTTTTCGTTCATGGATAAGGAGGGCACACACGCATTGCACCAGCATCTGTGACACTTACATCTGCGATAATTGGAATATATCCGAAACATAGCGATACAGCAAAGGTACTGTAGAGAAAGACTAGATGCTCTCATTGCAAATTGTCGGAGGCGCCACCCATCTCGGGGAGGGAATCAGCATAAAGAAAGAGTTGTGCTCAATTACATACCGTTCCTCAAAGGAATGGTTAAGAAAGTTACCAGAAATAAGAATATACAGATAGTTTACAAGCGTAATCCCACCGTATACAGGCTCTTAAGGAAAGATAAAGGCAGTTACGAATGCAACACGATGGCAGGAGTATACTCTATACCGTTAAAAGATCGTAGATTTAACTCTAATCTGGTATACATAGGAGCAACCATGAGAAACTTAAAAGAATTGCTGAACATAAGCACTCAGTGAATAAAAACATAGACTCTACGGTGCTGCTGCCTTTGCTAAGCAGCAGAATATTGAGGTCTTTTGGGATCGGGCGTTGATCATCAAGGCTACAAGATACAGGCAGGCCTTGAAACATTTGGAAAAAGTAGAAATTCACAAGGCGCAGTTGCACACAAACTGCATTAATCATAGGGATGCTGACAGATTGTCATCGGCATGGAAATCCTTCTACAGTGAGTTGACGTAGTTTATGTAAGCAGGAAGGTTAATTAAGATAATTTTTTACTGGATGTATATATTTTATTTTATTTCTTTATTTCGTTTTAATTATTTTGTATAATTTTTGCAATTATTTAAGCTTGGTAAATGTTAACATATTTATGTAACTGCTTTTTGAATTTTTGCTTTACGTAATTTCGAATTGTTGATTTGATTCAGAATGATAACTGAAGATGATTGCTTAAAGCAATCAAAAGCATTTTTAAGATATTAAAAAACGATTTGCTGGATTGTTTAAAGTTTTTGACTTTTATTTATTATTCAAACCATTTTATATTTTATTTATATTTGGTAACATTCCATGAGTGGGGGAGAGGAGTATGAACCCTCGCAATTTTCCCAACATCCCCCCTTTGTGATCAAAAAACGTCTAATGAACCACACCCCTACATGCGACTCTTCACAAGATATAGCCCCCCAAAATCAGCCCACACATCGCTCAATTGCTTTTAACTATGTAGCCCCCTCCCTCGCTCATAGAATGTTACCTTATATTTTAATAAGTTTTTATCACTTTAGATAAATTTTATATAAACAATAGAAATAGTTCTTATGGTCATGTATGAATCAACATATAATTTTAGAATTATTCTCAAATATTTCAAACTATAATTAAAGGAGAACAAATCATAGAAAAGAGAATGAGATACCTATAAACAATTAACTAATAACAACTATTAATCACTTATTTAATATTACACCTACACCTGATCAAAAAGTGGTTCATCTGCTTTTACAGTTGCCATCTTTGTTTTTACAATTTTACTTTGTTTATATCTGTGCCTCACATAAATAAAATTAACATTAAATTTTAAAAAAATCCCTAACTAATTAATGCATTCATTATTTACATTATAGGCACTGGTCACAATGTCTATAACATAACCTGGTTGCAAACATTAAGTCCGCAACTTTTCTTTGTTTTTTATCAATAAATATCTTTAGAATATCTGACCACCACACCATGGAAGCAGAGTGATTTCCGGGGGAGCTAATCTCACAAATGGTCACATGTATTGTACAGGTATGGTTCCTTTTTTGCTCCTATGACATGTTAAGGTCCCAAAAGTGTCATTTACATCTGCAAACTTACCCAGTATTTCTTCCTTACTGTTGTGTTGTAAATGAAAGGCAAGCATTTAGAGAATGTTGAGACTGAGAGAAAAAATGTGATGTATTGCTTAGAAATAAATACCATATTCAAAATTAATTTTAATTAATGTAGAAAAGGCAGCAAAACATGAAAGGTGTGGACTCGTGATGGAAGCATTACTTTGGAGAAAGAATCCACAACACAATTTTAGCATTTTTGGTGAAATTAAGAAAACGAATTGTTTTCTTGCCGAGTGTAATTTTACTTGGCGTTAAATTAAATATTATTGCTTGTAAGGGAAATATTAAATAATTCAGATGTTTATATAAGATGTAAATGAAAAACGAAACTATTCATTAATACATTAAGCAAATACTTTCGTTTTTATTTCAGTTAAAGTTTATGTAAACTTCTAAATAATGATGCATTTAATTAAAGTAAAGAGTTTATTAAATGGTGGCCTATCAAAATTCTTACCTTCAGTCGAAGTGAAGCCATTCCGACCGATATTAATGATCCCATTCATACTGTCAACGAATGAGGCAACAAATCGGTACTTTACAACATAGAACACGTGCTTCGTACAAATGTCCACAATCGCCACTAGGTACATTTGTCGCTAGTTGCTAAATATCGTTATTTGTTATTTTTTTCTAATACAGTACAGTATATGCATTATTATTTAAAATTGTATATTATTAATTTTTATAATTACGAAAATTAAATTATTTATTATTCGTAAATTAATTAATAGTAAAACAAATGTTTATTGTATTCATTTTTAGAGGCGGTTAAGACGTCAGCCTACCGCTCCGAGGAACCCGGGTTCGAATCCGAGCCGTGCCAGCGACTACCCGGGAATTTCTCTTGGGCAGTCTGTCCCGAATTTATTGAGCTTCCCGCTTCACTCGGTCGCCTTTATTGTGGGTTTAACTACGATGGGTATACAAAAAAAATTCTCTTAGCGCTCATAGGGCGGAAAGAATTAAAACTTGAAAATATTATTTAGTTTTTACTTTGTATTACAATTAATGATATTTTGGTATATTTTAAATGCTTTTAATTTTATTTTAAACTAGCTGTTATCCGCGGCTTTGCCCGCGAGGATTTTGCAAGCAAACGCCATTTATATTCAGTATTTCCATACAACCATAGTAATTGTTATATAACACCTATCGCTGAGAATGATGAGAATTGCCNCTGCTTTTTGAATTTTTGCTTTACGTAATTTCGAATTGTTGATTTGATTCAGAATGATAACTGAAGATGATTGCTTAAAGCAATCAAAAGCATTTTTAAGATATTAAAAAACGATTTGCTGGATTGTTTAAAGTTTTTGACTTTTATTTATTATTCAAACCATTTTATATTTTATTTATATTTGGTAACATTCCATGAGTGGGGGAGAGGAGTATGAACCCTCGCAATTTTCCCAACATCCCCCCTTTGTGATCAAAAAACGTCTAATGAACCACACCCCTACATGCGACTCTTCACAAGATATAGCCCCCCCAAAATCAGCCCACACATCGCTCAATTGCTTTTAACTAGGTAGCCCCCTCCCTCGCTCATAGAATGTTACCTTATATTTTAATAAGTTTTTATCACTTTAGATAAATTTTATATAAACAATAGAAATAGTTCTTATGGTCATGTATGAATCAACATATAATTTTAGAATTATTCTCAAATATTTCAAACTATAATTAAAGGAGAACAAATCATAGAAAAGAGAATGAGATACCTATAAACAATTAACTAATAACAACTATTAATCACTTATTTAATATTACACCTACACCTGATCAAAAAGTGGTTCATCTGCTTTTACAGTTGCCATCTTTGTTTTTACAATTTTACTTTGTTTATATCTGTGCCTCACATAAATAAAATTAACATTAAATTTTAAAAAAATCCCTAACTAATTAATGCATTCATTATTTACATTATAGGCACTGGTCACAATGTCTATAACATAACCTGGTTGCAAACATTAAGTCCGCAACTTTTCTTTGTTTTTTATCAATAAATATCTTTAGAATATCTGACCACCACACCATGGAAGCAGAGTGATTTCCGGGGGAGCTAATCTCACAAATGGTCACATGTATTGTACAGGTATGGTTCCTTTTTTGCTCCTATGACATGTTAAGGTCCCAAAAGTGTCATTTACATCTGCAAACTTACCCAGTATTTCTTCCTTACTGTTGTGTTGTAAATGAAAGGCAAGCATTTAGAGAATGTTGAGACTGAGAGAAAAAATGTGATGTATTGCTTAGAAATAAATACCATATTCAAAATTAATTTTAATTAATGTAGAAAAGGCAGCAAAACATGAAAGGTGTGGACTCGTGATGGAAGCATTACTTTGGAGAAAGAATCCACAACACAATTTTAGCATTTTTGGTGAAATTAAGAAAACGAATTGTTTTCTTGCCGAGTGTAATTTTACTTGGCGTTAAATTAAATATTATTGCTTGTAAGGGAAATATTAAATAATTCAGATGTTTATATAAGATGTAAATGAAAAACGAAACTATTCATTAATACATTAAGCAAATACTTTCGTTTTTATTTCAGTTAAAGTTTATGTAAACTTCTAAATAATGATGCATTTAATTAAAGTAAAGAGTTTATTAAATGGTGGCCTATCAAAATTCTTACCTTCAGTCGAAGTGAAGCCATTCCGACCGATATTAATGATCCCATTCATACTGTCAACGAATGAGGCAACAAATCGGTACTTTACAACATAGAACACGTGCTTCGTACAAATGTCCACAATCGCCACTAGGTACATTTGTCGCTAGTTGCTAAATATCGTTATTTGTTATTTTTTTCTAATACAGTACAGTATATCTATTATTATTTAAAATTGTATTGTTATGCATAGATATACAGGGAGAGGCATTCAACCTGAAAAAGTGAAATATCTCCAAAACCAAGGGTTGCAGAGGAATTTGTTCAAGAAAACCAAAAATGTGTTTATTAAGGAGGCGATGGGTAACGGGTTTGTTTTTTTTTTATTTTGAGCATGTTTTCAAGGTTATATCAAACAAAAAAACCTGTGTAAAACGGTATTGCACGGTTCTGGTTTCTATTTTGAGCGGTTTTTAATATATTTTCCTATGTTATTTTGTTCAGTAATCTTTTCTTGAACACATCGAGATTAAACTCTTGTTAGAATAATTTATTCAATAAAATTGAATTTTTATGTATTGCTAATAAAAGTATTAGTTTTTTTTTCTTTGGAAAGAAGTGTTTTAGCCTTCATTTAAAATAGAAATGTTGTCAAAAGTATTGCCCACTTTTAGGCAGCTGAATCTATGCGTCATTTCGCATAGATTCTGCTGCCCTAAAAAATACAGTTGACCCCCTATAACGCTGTTGATAATTCCGTTTTCATAAGAATTTCATGTTGTACGAGTCACTTAGATTTTACAAATACGTGAGCCGTTCACAGCCAGGCACACGTATTTGTAAAATCTAAGTGACTCGTACAACGTGGAATTCATAGAAAACGGGATAATCAACAGTGTTATATGGGGGTCGATTGTACAGTTTTTCGTTTGAAATAACAAGTTGACCTTGAAAACATACTCATAAAAATTTATGTCCCTTTCTCTTTCAAAACAAATACATTTTATTTTAAACAAATTCCTCTGCAACACTTAGTTTTGGACATATTTCACTTTTTCAGGTTAAAATGCCTCACCCTGTATAAATGAAGTGGAAAATAATTTTATATTGTGTGTATGAGTTCAAATTGTTCAATTATTTTTACTAGCCTTGTATATATACATATACAAGTACAAGGCTAGTAAAAAGAATTGAACAATTGGAACACGATCTGTGAAGAATTTANTACTAAATTATTATTATTAATATTAAAATTATTTTACTATGTGAAAATTTAAATCTAATTTGAATTTAAAGTAGGTACTATTTAGTTTGCGTAACTTCACTTAACCCGGCTGAATACAGCAGCAACCTTCTTGGCCCCCGAAATGTTTGGTGAAGAAAATATGGCCCGCGGGCTATGATAAGTTGGACAGCGCTGATTTAGATGATAAATGACTTCAAACCAAATTAATTCAAACATAATTAATTATTTAAATACAGGGTGTTTATAATTGAAGTTCCACTTTGAAATGGCCATAAAATGAAAACTACTAGACAGAATGTTATCAAACTTGATAATAGTGTACAGGACGTCATGGAATTTTATTTCCCGCAAAAAAAAAAAAAAAAAAAAAATAGTTCAAAAACTCACCATCAACGGGAAATGGCGCGATTTGCAATATTGTTAAACGAAATAAGACATGAAGTCATCGTTGAAAATGTTTTTAATCGTTTTAAAACGAAACTGTTTGTGGAGTTTCTCCCGATATGCTAAGAGCTACTGTTGAGAACACAGTAATGCGATGTAACTTGCTTATCAAAAATGGTGGACATCACATTGAACATGCTCTGTAACGCTTTTTACTATATAAAACCGATTAAAAACATTTTCAACGATGTCTTCATGTCTTATTTCGTTTAACAATATTGCAGATCGCGCCATTTTCCGCTGATGGTGAGTTTTTGAACTATTTTTTTTTCCGGGAAATAAAATTCCAAGACGTCCTGTACACTACTACCAAGTTTGATAACATTCTGTCCCGTAGTTTTCATTTTATGCCCATTTCAAAGTGGAACTTTAATTATAAACACCATGTATTTTATTCGGGATTTCAAGATGTCAAAGATATCAAGAAAATCGTTGGGAAACTGATACAGAAATTGAATACATCATCCTGAAAAGCCTTGTACAGGGTGAATACTGAACTGTTAGGTCAGTGCCATGCTTGCGGGAACTCGATCGCTTGCTCGTGTGGAGGTTTGCCGCAACAAACAAGCGCGAGAGCATGACGTCATTCGAAGCATTTAACACGGCCAGATTGTATCGAAAGCTTGCGGTACCCAGCCAGCATACATGTATTGTATGCTGACTGGGGCGGATGTACATAGAAATTAATAGGGCTTAAGCCCTATTCCCCAGAGTCAAGGGCCCACATAATTTGAATTATTAACATAAATTTTCAATACTTTTTCATTATAATATATTTTATGTATTTTATGTGTAAATATAATGGGCTTTTATAATAGTTCATACTTTTTTATTCACACCAAATAACGTTTCTGCCTATTGTTTAGTCCTAGAGATAGGCCTATTATTCTTATTATAACTTTCAGTATGGCCGAAAATTTTGGTCAGGATTTGCCCCTGCTATAGATCATCCCATTTCATATATTTGTTAGAGACATTCTGATTGAACCTTCTCGGATTGAGAAATTAGAATATTTGCAACAAATATATAAAATGTCCTTTTAACGCAGTATCAACCCAGGCGTGCCGATTATCGCCACCAAAAAGTTGTCTTTTTCCTTGATTTTCTTCAGATGAAAAAAATGGTTGAGGATCAGTTCATAACTGAATTTTAACGCTTGAATAATAGTGTAAACCGAGCGGTGTTTCGCATAAGTCAAGCGAACTCTGCTCTGGAAAGAGATTGAGGAAACACACAATGCTACTCTTCTTTCATAAAAATCACTATCCTTAGAATTATGGTTCGCCGTGAAACAGTTATCTCAAGAGTAAAACTCTAGAGAAAGATCTTATAAACTCTCCAATGGAATTAAACTTCATTCGTAATTAGCTAATGGATAAATCCTTAAATTACTATTTGCAAATTTAAAATGTAGAAGTAGATTTATCAGAAAGATGGAAATTAATTGGAATATATGATCATATATTCCAATTAAGAATATGGCTGCTGCAGTATGTCTGATAAAATATGGCTGCTGCAGATAAATTTAAGATTCTCTGCTCTGAAAAATTTGGATCGATTCAGTCTGATTAACTGCGTTTTTTTTAGAGAGTAATTTGAATCTTTAGAATCTGTCGTGGATCGATCACAGAGATCACCAGAGCAACTCTAGATCTATTGATAGATGATACCAGAGCTGTTCTCACACATTACAGGATCAACAATAATAAACTCCTTCATGTATATATAAATAATTAGCAGAATATATAAAATCAACGCGTCATAATAATAACAATAATCTTAGAATTTTTGTAGTAACTTAAACGATGTAAAAACGAACATTTCTTCAGATAATTTGGTAAAAATGGTTTATAGTGCTATTTATTTAATTTGTTCTTGTAAAAAAATATATAAAAATATTTTAAAAATTAATGAATTGTATATGTTCAAAAATACTAAAACTTGAAAAAATAAATTTAAAAAATTAATTTCTTTTCTGATTAATCAACAGAAAAGTAAAGGAGTCGTAATTGTTTAGAAACATTCTTTTTCAAATAAATAGATGGCAGCACCGACGTTAACGAGCCCTAACATTTAACATTTATTAAAAATATCTAAATATCTAATATTTTTTAATACTTAGTATATTTAAAAGCTCTCTAAATAATTATAAAAAATAATACTTTTATTGTATTTCGTAAAAAATAATTAATAAAAATATTTTCAAAGGAAAAAAGAAAAATGTTAAGAATATTGCTCACCAGGTAGCGGCAAGTTATTTCATCGTTTGGCTCGCTAAAAATTAATATTATTTTTTAAATAATTTTTAAAAATTTAAATTATGTATTAACTATCTATTAATAATTTTCTCAATTTTTGAATACCTAAAAAAATAAAAACTTGGAGGAAAAAAAAAATCTGTCTCGCAATCCGTACCTATTTTAATACATTTATTTATGTCTTGAAAATTTAAGCCTAATTTTAACGAGAAGATATTTAAACTTTACAAACGTTTACATAAGAGCGAGAAAATTTGTTTAGTACTACATAAAACGGGAATATTTGCCACCCGACAAAGCGCAAAATTTAAAGAAACAAAAAAAATGGCGGACACTTTAAAAAAATGATTAAAAATGAAAATTAAGACCGATTTTTGTATACATTTTATCGATTTAAGTAGCGTGTAAGCGATCTGCAGCGAAATACAAAACATTGTTTCGACCAATCTCTTCAAATTCCGAGTTTCAACTTTCCTCTTCTCTTTCTTTTCTTATTTATTTATCGATTGGATGCAACATATCGTACGTGTCCAGATATAAAATATTTTCGTCTAATTACGTCGATGCTTCTTTATTTTCTAGATATCGATTGAAACGAAAGCGCGCAGATTGCCTCTAATTAAATACTTTCAAGTAGCTTACTGTAAAGTGTGTAATCTGTTGTCGGGAGGTAAACGCCATTTGTAATTTTCTAAGTAATATCTTCGGAGATTTCTAGACCCGCTACCCCTTTTATTTAATCGTGGGAAACTCCTGTGTGTTTAAAAATTATTAAACATTGATAAAAACCCTAAATGCGCCTTTGTTATCGATGTGTAATACCTCTAACAAGAGCATCTATCGGCGCATTTTACTGTTATATTCCGAATTCATACATTAAAACTTAGTTAATTTATGCATAAATGTCGTAAAATAAAGGTTCCTGTTGGTTTAGGATAGGTGCTTTTTCATTTATATATGTAGGGACCGGCAGTAGCTAGAGAAAGCGACGATTCCTATCCTTTAATTTCTCTTCTTACACTTTGAAGGATCCCTCCCGCGCGACCGATATCCACCCACCATACACTCCACTAAATTACTGCCTACATCACAAAAGAAGGCTGGGCCAAGAGGCACAACGGGCACAAGTCCAAATGGGTGGATGTCGAACTCTGCATTTCTATTGACGTAAACACTTCTCGCGCTCTAAATGTCTTAGTAAATGCTTTAAAAAATTTGCCACAAATTCTTTTAAAAAATAATAATGGTTACGCGCTTAGAAAACGTGGCACAACCTGCAAATGATGTTTTAAATAGGTTGAAATGGCTTCGTGCCTTTTGTGGTGGAATATTAATGGTAGATATCCTATCTAAATTTGACAGAGTGGGTGTAAAGAAATGGACCCCGAGCCGTCTTTATCTATAATTTACTGCAAATTGGACAAACGTCAATCCTCGTAACTCTGCTGGAAATCTCGGGGATAGGGAAACGTTAAGAGCTCTTTTATATTTTTAAACCTCTTTAAGAATTCTCTCCCTAGCCATGGGAAATCTATGGTATCAATATTCTCACATTCACGTTATTATTATTATTTTAATGGAATGTTTCGTGCCGAGATTCAGTCCATCAATCAATTTTTGAATGCGAATTAAACGCAAATCTCGCGTAATTCTGTAAATTCGGGAATTGTCAACATAACAATGTCTTATTCCGTATCCGCTGTATAGATTTGTGTATAATTTAAAAAATAAAAAAGTACAGTATAAACACATAACCGTTCCACCAACAACTGTATATTTTATCACAACAGACACATCCCATCTGTAAACATACACGAGACAGAATATATATACAAACTACACCAAATTCTTGTACAAAAAGACTATGTACAAAAATCACGAATAGTGTAGACATTTCCTCTTGTTGCTGTTTTCGCCCAAAGGGTCGGAATTACATCTTTTACTGTCGTCCTGTCTATTGGACATTGTCCAGCTTTGTCTACTAGTTTTAGAGAAGTCACGAGGAAGGCAAGAATCCTCGACGTCGTCGCTTTCGGAGTTCGGGGTGGCAACCCGTGGCGATCTTTCCTCTCGCGAACTATGTCCTCTCGCCCGTCCCCCCGATCTCCTTTCCATCACCTTATCGTCACTGACGTCACGCTCTTGTTCTCTCTTAGCTTCCATCTCTTTTAGTCTCTCCATCCACAAGTTTAGAGGTAACGGCACAACCAGAGGAATGGGTACAGGTAACGGTAGAAGTAGAGGGTAAGGGACTATCACCGTAGAAGGAGGGAGAAGAGACTGAGGTTGAGAAGTCGGAGGTTGGGGAGGAGACGGAGGACGGGGGATGTTACCGTAAGGAGGAAGGAACCAGGGCGGTGGTGGAATAGGGGGTCTGACCCCGAGACACGGTTGACTTCGTAACAAGCTGTCGGTATGGTGCAGATTGAGAGGACGGGGTAATAATCCAGGTGGATAGAAGGGCGGTCTAAGAGGATCCAGACCTAGAGAAGTAGGAAGTGGGGGTAGGGGAGGGGGAGGACGGGGAGACAACCCCACGGGCGACGATGAAAGAGCCGGAGATGGTCCGTTTAATAGGGAATTGTGTGAGAAACTTGGCAGAGGGGTAGACGATACTTGCGATCTATTAGGAAGTCGAGAATGGGGTGGGGTATCGGCTCTGGTGTCTTTAGGATGGTGGCGAGGGGGTAATTTTCCCAATTTCCGTGTTTTATCGTTTCTATCTTTAGTTCTATGCTTATAGGCGTCCGAATTGGTCTTTTCCTCCGCCGGGGGAGGCGTAACGTCTGCAACTACTTCCTCGCGGTTATCTCCTACTTCGGTCATAGAGTGAGCGTGTCCGTTATTGGCACTATAGCCTTTACAGTCCCTCAGCCACAAATCCGGAGTGATGAGATTGACGGACGTGTTGGGTGACATTTTACAGGCGGCTTCCTTTATATGTGTATGCATTTGGAGATGGGCCTGCGTCTCCTTGCAGAAAATATTCATCTTATATTGATTGAGGCACTTGTCACTGCAGAACTGAAGTTGTTGTTCTCCGTCTTGGAAATCAACGTAGTTAACCGTGTGTCGTACATGTTTACACCAATCGCACACTTTGTTTTTCTTGAACGAAGCTCGTCTGCATTGGGTGAAGCACAATTCGCTGCAAAAGGCCTTACTACCGTTGGTCGTCTTCAATGTGAACAGTTTCATGCCCATTTTTTGGCACCAAGCGCATACGATGCAACCCGAAGTACCGTGTCCAGAATCTGCAAAAGAAAAATTGAATTAAACTAACATTTACTCAACAGTTCGGGATAAAGCTACTAGTCACGACTAGCACCATAAAAGCCGCAGCAGCAGCAGCACCACCATTTGAAAAGCGCATAACGAGCCATAGAGAAGCTCTTATTGTGTTTTAAAAAAAGAGAACACAGTGCGCAGAGTAGGGTATATAGAGGGAGATATATTGAACGTTGTGAACAGAAGGGGAAAAAGGACAAGAATTTTCATTCTTCGATTATGTCATAAACATGATCTCGACATCCCTCCCCTTCCTGCGTTTGATGAATTTGGCCAGAAAGCAGAAAGAGAATAATTCACAAAAATGATAAATGACATAATAATAGCATCCAGAGCTATGAACGTCGAAAAGTTTGCATCGGAAAAAAGAAGCAGCAGAGAAGTGGGAGGAGGTGAGACTTTTTTTCTTCCGATCCGCCGCTTTCTGCTTTTCCTGATGTTCTTTATAGAATTAGAGGAGACAAAAAGGTGTTTTTGATTTATAACCGCTTCCTTTGATTAAGGCAAGGGTGCAAATTGAGTCTTCACTCGAAAAACGTTAGCGCTTATATTCGTTCTTTCCCTATTTCTTCCTCTTTTTTTGAATTTCAGTGAAAATAAAGACTTCCGTCGCTCTCGAGTTCCGCTCTAGGCTTTGAATCGGGGTTCCGACTCTCGCGGTTTGCACTTTAGAATGTAGCAAAGGACCGTTAGAACCTCCAACGAAGATGATCCTATTAAGAGAGGAGCTAAAACACCTGTAAAAAGCGGGATGGGAAACATTTAAGAATGTGGAAGACGACTGGCTGGCACCAGAATAAATAAGGAGAAGGGGAGCGATGACACAATGTAATTTCCCATTTGCTCTGGCATTGACCATGCCGAATGTTGGCAGTCACGAACAGCAGAGTTCCAGTCCGGTTCGGTCCCCGTGGGGAGGGCTATAATCGCCTTAAGAGGCGTCCACACTATCTCATCTCCGCTCCCCACCTTCGTACCTGTTGCTTCATTACAGAAGGAAATAATAGGCTACGCTCTGCTTATTTTCTGTGATTTATTTATTGAGAGATTCTCCGTCTGTGTTTCCATTGGGATATGGTCAGGAATACGTAATGGGCCTTCTATCCCGCATAATTAATAACGATTCCCCTCGGTATCTCGTGAGAATAATTCTATCCCTCCTCTTTGCTTCTGCCGGCTGTTGGAGGCTCTTCGCTAATGGCCCTTTTTAAGAAATTCAAATAGTGAGAATGTGGGGAGGTTCGACTCGTGTCCTTTTGGCCAAATTATAAGTTTGAGTGAAGATATGTATAGGTCGATTAAGGTAAAGAGCCAGGCTATGAATGGTGAGGCCTTTCGGGTTAAAGTTTTCAGGGCTTTCTTCTATCTCTATTTAAATTCATCTGATCAAAAGCCCTTAAACTCTATAAGAGATGGCGTGTTTAAAACCTAAAAGACCCTCCAGTTCGAGTTGATGGTCCTTATTCTACATTTGGACCAGATGTTTTTCAGATGATAAAAATTGTGAAATTCTTCTCTCGGGTAATTTATAGACTGCCTTTTTTTACATTCCCCCTTATCTTAGCTCATAAAAGTCCAACTAAAACGATTTAACAATTGATCTTTCAGAATAGACGATGTATAGCCTGCATTTCGTTAGCCTTCAGGCTTCATTCTAACTTCAAAATATATCAAAACGATAGGCTAAATTTTCTGTTTTAGAATCATGGAATGGTAGAATGCATCCTGGATTTAAACTGGTGGATTCTTTTTCGCACGGCGGTCTTTGCTATTAATTAGGATTATAACTTGTTGAAGAGGGCACTACGAGGCATCAGCTGTATGCAATTATCTCTGTTTTGTCCATTATAAGTAGGACTAACCAAACTGAACATAGTGTCACTCTCGTATAGCGTCAATAAATATGCAAGTTGTCCTTTAGTATCCTTTACCGCATTGCAAACAATAACAAAAAATCCTTCGACTTACCAACCTTTAAACTCGTGTCGAACTCATTACTATGTATAATTATTGTTGTTTGAGGTACTTCCGTTTAGCGCCACATTCGATTTAGTGTCAGTTTTGAGACGAATCATGAGGAGCTCAATCGAAGTTCGATTATATTACAGAATCAGCACGAAAGGCACGGAGATCCGAACCACCCATAAGTCACGTTGTGGATAAGATTTGAGCCCGAATCAATGATTCAAACTCCTCTCGAAAGTCAATTTACAGTTTCTTTAATGACTAATAATCATTCAAAAAGCATTTCCACAGCATATAATTTAAGTGATTGGTATACAATCAAGTTTGAATATACACAGAATGAGCCGATTGGTTGTGAAGTGCCACAATATACAAATATGGTTCAGAAGGGATCTTAGAAAGAGCAGGGATTTCAGATACCGCCATTAGATTAGTTAGTAAAGACGTTGAAATAAAGAAAATTAATGAAGAGTCCAGGCAGGATTCAAAGGCGGTCCACATCCTCCCATAGAAGTGAAAGTAATCAATAAAAGGGTTCTGGCCTTCGGACATCGACGCCAGATTTTTTTTTTTTTTTTGTCGTGTTCTCAGCAGCCGAGACATCCCGATATAAATCACGCTTTTTGCATGTAGAGAAGAACGATGCATCAAGCTGACAATAATGGCCCACTAATTATGACCGAAATGTGCATGCGCAGCAAAAAGGGGGCTGATTAAACACCGATATAATTATAAGGTAATGAGCCATAATTACAGATGTTAGTTCCAACCAGTCGGATCACGTGATTGGCTAGCAGAAAAGAGTGCAGAAGCTCAGCGGGGGAGGACTAGCAGGTGAGAAGTGCAACAATTATTAGTTACGGTACGGATCAGCGGGTGTCCTTCTCCTCAACAAAAAAGTTTCGCATCCCTTTAAGGGGTTGTCATTCATTCACCCACTCCCGGCTGACAATTTCGTCGATTGATGCATCGCTACTCTCGATGCCTCCTATTTCCTGTCGATGCACAATGGATTCGTATTTTTGATTCGCTACTAAAGATAATAAGAGGTTTGATAGTAGTGTGCTGTGCCGATTTGTTTCCGTTGACAAAGCGCAATCGCCGACTTAATAATAAATTTCATTTAGAAAATAACAAAAAAAAGGATAAAAAACTGGTAGCTCTCTTCACACTAAATGATGGAAATTTTTACGTTTACGCTCTTAAATTTCGTGGTTTACAAGTGGAGACTTTGAAACCACGAAATTTAAGAGCCTCACACAAACGAGTCTTCTACCTCAAGGCCCCACTTGAGGTAGAAAACTCAAGGGGTCCCTGGAAGACAAGGAGGATAAAAATTCACTTTGAAACAAAGAATTATATATATATATATATATATGGACTAAAAGGGGTGGTAGTCTGAACAGTGGTTTAGTGGAAGGCACTTACCAGCTTAAAAAAAAACAAAGAAAATGAGGGTTTAAGAAAGATTATAGCCTCATTGAACTCTATTAAAATAAACAAGGCGACAAAGGGTCGCGGCTTGGTTATTATTTATTTTTTTTAATACATATTCATTTAGGATAATTGGTAACAAAATAGCTGATGGTACCATTCTCCTGACACGATAAAGACCATTTTATAAAGATATCAACGTAGTTCAATTGTCAAGTATGACTTTTTTAATGAGTCCTTCAATTACAGAGCTTAATAATCTTGTTATTCAGCTTTCCTTTTGTCGCATGCACATTCCTCTTCTAATTCACTCAGTAGGCCTCTAGATCCAATTCTTTACTTTAAAAAAAAAATGGGCCCTCCGATCTCCCTTTATTTGAGGTACTAATCTTCTTACTATTGATGTCGTTTAATTGATTCGCTTGTAGAAGAAAGTTCGCTTTCATTTATTTCAAATCGAGCTTGACAGACGCACTTTTAAAGGTTATATAAAACGGAAATCCGTCAGATACGACCAACAAAAAGTGTCTTTACGAGCGTATAAAGGGGTAGTAATCCGTAAAACGAGTTGTAAGATGGTCTAATGAAGTTATTCGCAATGGGGAAAAACAGCAACTGAACTTACTTCTTCACATTTATAAACTGCGAAGCTATAAAACCGGATAGTTTACAGATTAAAGAAGTTTCGAGTGAAAGTAACTAACGGCTAACAGGCGCCATCCTCTATCCCAAGTACTGTAACTCTTCAGTAAAAAGTACTTGTCGATCGCTAGAGAAAAATGCTTGTTTTCTGTTTAGTTCTTTACATTTTACAAACTTGTAGAAGGAAATTAAGAAAAGTTACGTCTAGACGATTAAGATATTGCCTTTTCACCCTCATCTGGATCGATATTTCAACTCTTCAATGCCTACAGTTCGCCTTCCTTGTGAGCTAAATTCAGATTTTCTGAGCGAGAGGGCTACTTTCCTCTATTGAAAATGGAAAAATTAGCATACTTTCCGTGGTTATTTCTTCTTATTTTGTTACGTAGAAGTAAAATTTAACCACTTAACAACTCTGAATCAACTGGGTTAACCTATGGTAACTCACGAAACAGTTTAGAACAATATTAAAATTGGGATGTGTTGCTGTTTATCTCAAAAGTAGAGAGAAGGCAGAGAGAGAGGAATAAAGCAAGTTTTTCCTCGACAATCAATACAAATCTCCTTGAATGACTGTCATTGCGAAGAGATGCACAAAGCGCTTTCGTAACAGCCTTATTTTTATCGTCCATATTTCGCAGAACTCCAAAATCGCGCCTTTTGTTCCGGACGTCATTCGCTTTTCTGGCTTCCGACCGGTAATCAACCAATAATAAGAGCCAGTACTATTGTCGGTCCAGCGCCTGCAGCCCACATTTGGATGACCTCACACCTCTTCTTTTTGTGTACGCCTCTCTAATCATCATCATCTGTAGACGGAATGTTTGGCATTGTCCCTCTCTTTGGCTAGCATTAATCATCACTCTGGCGGGCCAACCCTTTCAAATACTTCTCCTCTGGGCCCTTCGAACGACTCGCGAACGCG